ACCGCCACAGCCAGCTGCCCACGGCGCTCCCCGTGAACAGTCCAACCCCCCGGCCCTGCTCGACCACCTCGCGGCCACATAGGGGAGTACCTGACCCTGCCAGTGAAGCCAGACGGGCATTTTTTTTTAAATTATCGGAACCACGCCCACGACCTTTTCTTTTACCAATATATAATTTTTTTTTATGACTGGTTGTTGCCTAATTTTAAACCCCCCCCCCGCCACAAGGTAAGGAGTCACATAAGCATATCGACCAGCTAAAACGTAGAATTAGGAGTTCGCTGATTTGTTACCGTAGTAGTAATAGTCAGCCAAATTCGAGTTCCGAGTCTTTGTCTTGCTCCGGTCCAGAGGAAATTAATGCGCCTAGAATAAACCCTGCCGTAACAGACACCGGGAGGAAATCAAAAGCACCGGAGGGAACTGAAATAATAGATAAGAGTGATTGCTTAGATACGGCAAGGGAAACGTCAACACTTCGTGCTCTATCAGCTCATACGTCGCCTGTGCCGCCCGCAACGCCGCCCCAGGTCTTCCGGCCGGTACGCAAGTGCCGTTTGGATAACCCCCCCCCCCGCTATAAAGAGTAGTTACCATCGTACTATATTATTTTTATATACTTCTTTTTTTTTTAAATAGTTTCAAGATTTTTTTTCTTTTCCTGTATAACAGTATAGTATAAAATACTTATATGTATAACTAATTGTAAGTCTTAATTAAGGGGGGAGGATTGTAATGAGGATACATTAAATATATAAGTGATTGATTGTAAAAGGCTCGTCGAACAGTCACGAATAAACCGTCAATCCGCTTACCCGTGTCTTATTTACGAAATACACTACAAAAGGGTAGAATGGATATTGGACGAAAATGATTGGGAAGAATAGGAGTAGGAACTTTTGGGAGAGGCTTTACAAAAGCCCTCTTCCAAAGATTAGGATACTGACCTGAACCAAGGGAAAAATTGATTACATGGGAAATTGCCGGGAGAAGGTGCTCTAGTATAAATACTACCATATGTCTACTAATCTCGTCGTAACTCACGGCTTTGGACTGGATTGCTAAAATTGACTTTTTGACATCATCCTGAGAAACAGGAGAAAAATTCATCATCATCATCATCATTACAGCCCTTCACAAGTCCACTGCTGAACATAGGCCTCCCCCAAGTAATGCCACAAAGCACGGTCCTGAGCCACCTGCATCCATCGACTTCCTGCATGTCTTACCAGGTCGTCACTCCATCTAGTGGGGGGTCGCCCTACACTACGCCTACCGGTACGAGGCTGCCACTCGAGAACCTTTCTTCCCCATCGGTTATCGGTTCTTCGAGCTATATGGCCGGCCCATTGCCACTTCAGCTTACTAATCCGTTGGGCTATGTCGGTCACTCTGGTTTTACTGCGGATATCCTCATTTCTGAGTCTATCACGCAGAGAAACTCCGAGCATAGCCCTCTCCATAGCTCGCTGAGCGACCTTAAGCGTCCTCATACGGCCAGCAGTGAAGGACCACGTCTCAGATCCGTAAGTCATCACTGGCAACACGCACTGGTTGTACAATCTAGTTTTTAGAGATTGAGGTATACCTGACGAAAAGATATGCCGTAATTTCCCGAACGCTGCCCAGCCGAGTTGAATCCGTCGATTGACCTCTCGGTCGAAGTTGGACTTACCTAGTCGGACTATTTGTCCCAGGTAAACGTATTCGTCAACAACTTCGAGCATAGTGCTCCCAACAACTACCGGCATAGGTGTGACATGGACATTGAACATGATCTTTGTTTTGTCCATGTTCATCTTAAGACCTATCCGTTGGGAGGCACTATTGAGGTCATTGAGCATAGTGCTTAAGTCCTCCAGCGATTCTGCCATAAGGACTATATCGTCGGCAAATCGAAGGTGAGTGATGTACTCGCCATTGATGTCAATACCGTATCCTTTCCAGTCCAGTAGCTTGAAAAACGTCTTCCAATGCAGCGGTGAAGAGTTTCGGGGATATAACGTCACCCTGTCTTACACCTCTCTGCAGTTGGATAGGTTTCGAGCTCTGGTTCTGTACTCGGATAGCCATCGTAGCCCTACTGTACAAACACTTCAGCACTTCGATATACCGACAGTCAACTTGGCACCGCTGAAGGGACTGTAGCACCGCCCAAATTTCGACGGAATCAAAGGCTTTCTCATAGTCCACATACGCCAGGCAAAGTGGCAGATTGTACTCTTCAGTCTTCTGTACAATCTGCCGCAGGGTATGTATGTGGTCTATGGTACTGAAGCCTTTTCGGAAACCGGCTTGTTCGGGAGGCTGGAAGTCGTCAAGTCTGCGTGCGAGACGATTCGTAATGACTCTCGAAAACAGCACGTAGACGCGGCTCAGAAGGGAAATCGGTCTGTAGTTCTTTAAGAGAGCGTTGTCGCCTTTCTTAAAGAACAAGACCACCGCACTTCTGCTCCACGCCTCTGGAGTAGTGCCACCATGGAGGACGGAATTGAAGAGCTTCTGAAGGACTTCAAGTACCGGTGTTCCACCCGCTTTCAGAAGCTCCGCTGTAATTCTATCCTCGCCTGGGGCCCTGCCGTTTTTAAGGTGCTGGAGAGCCATTCTAATCTCGCTTAGACTGACGTCCGGGGTATCATCGGAATAGTGTCGGATAAGACTTGCTCTTGGATCGTTACTCACACTTGCGTGTGGCTCCAACGATGATGTGTACAGCTGCCCATAGAACCTCTCAATCTCACTCAAAATCTCAGGTGTCCCGGAAACGATGTTGCCACACTCAGTCTTCAGCCTTGACAGTTGGCTCTTTCTGGCAGACAGATCTCTGGCAAAGACTTTGGAGCCCTGGTTCCGCTCGATCGCTTCTTTAATACGAGAAGTATTAAAGTTGCGTAAGTCTCGCCGTATGCATTTGGAGATCTGTCTGTTCAGTTGCCTGTATGCTGTCAAATCTGTTGACGATTGCAGCCTCATCTCCCGTCTAACAGCCATGAGATTAAGAGTGTGATCGGAGAGTTTTTGTGTTCTTCTGCGGCGGGTCTTACAGAACTTAGCTCCGACCGCATGGACAGTTTCCACGAGCTTGTCGTTCATATCGTCCACTGCATTGCAATCTTCTAGGCACTGGAAGCGGTTACGTAACTCGAGCTGAAAGGTTTCGGGATTCTGGATTAGAGCACGAGGGGGACGGAGCGTTGACTTCATTAGACGAGACCTCTCCAACTTAACGTTTAGGTTCAGTGTGCCTCTAACCATTCGGTGATCGCTGCCAGTTTTCACCCTTGCGATCACTGAGACATCACTGAACAGTTGGCGTCTGGTCGTCATAATGAAGTCAATCTCATTTTTTGTCGAACCGTCGGGGCTCGACCAGGTCCACTTCCTGTGGGGCCGCTTCTGGAAGAAAGAGTTCATCATAAAGAGTCCCTCTTTCTCCATAAAGTCGGCCAGCTGCTGGCCCCTTCGGTTCCGTTGCCCTACTCCAAATTTCCCTACCTTCAGCTCACCGCTTTCTCTTGTGCCCAGTTTTGCGTTGAAGTCTCCCATCAACACCGTGTAGTAGGTTCTGGAGGAATGTATGGCTCTGGAAATATCCTCATACATTTCCTCCACCTCCTCATCGGGATGTGCCGAGGTTGGTGCGTAAACCTGAATGACCTTCAGCGAATACCGTTTGGTGATTCTGAGTATCAGGTACGCGACCCTCGTCGACACACTCCCAATCTTTACAACGTTGTTGACGAGAGATTTGTGGACGATAAATCCGACACCTCCTTGGGACAGATGGTCGCCCTCCCGGTGATAGAACAAGTTGCCGGACTCGAGGATTGCCGTGTCCTCCCCTTCTCTTCGGACCTCGGATAATCCAATAATATGCCAGCGCAACTTGTTTACCTCTTCTTCCAGCTCCAGTATCTTCTCGTCAGTCCTCAGGGTGCGTGCGTTATATGTTGCCAGGTCGAGTCGTCGTAGGTGGCAACCGAACCTCCACCGGAGATTCTTAGCACCCCCCTGCCCCGCCGTTACCATGGTCGCCACCGTAGCCAGGAATAGCGGGGCCGCCGGGGACTGGGGGCCGTCTGTTTGTGTATTTGTTCATTGGGGGGTATTTGCCATAGTTGCCACGCTTGGCGAGCGGGTTGGCAACCGCAGTTTTTTATTACGTCACAGTTGTCATCAGGAAGACGCTGCTGCCCATCTCCTGCCTGTCTCCCTCTGTCGCCTCTTACGACACCCACGGGAAGATATGGGGTAGTGGATATTCTTAACCGCCACTACACGGCATGATGAGAAAAATTAAAGGTAGGAATATTGAGTTTCAAGACAGCAATGATCATGATGACATAAAAATAAAATTAGCGAGAGCTATATTTTTAACAGGGACGCCATTATCGATGGTGCAACATCTTTAATGGATACAATTTTTAGAAAAATTGCAACCAAATTTTAAAATAACTTCACGTAAAACTGTAGCGACAAAATATTTAGATAAAATATATAGAGAGATGCGTATAGAGTTAAATGAGGAACTAAACGCTTGCACTTACTTACAGCTTCAGTGCGATGGCTGGTCTAATATAAGAAATGAAGGAATAATAAACTTTCTTATATCAAAACCTCGACCCGCATATATAAAAAGTTTAAATACAGAAAGTAATCGTCACACTAGTGAATATCTTTGCCAAGAAATTGAAAAAGTAATGCAAGCATATGGAGAAAATAAGTTTCTTGTACTTATTGGCAACAACGCCAGAAACATACATAAGGCATTTCAATTAATAAAACTCAAATATCCACATGTTGTTCCTCTCGGTTGCTGTGCACATGTCCTTAACTTGTTATGCCAAGATTTCATAAAGGTACAAGAGATTACTTTGGTTATAATGCAAGTCATAACTATAATAAATATTTCAAAAAGATCCAAAGATTGACTTCACTTTTGAGAAAATTCGGTCAGGGCCAAGATTCTACACAAACACTAAAATTGCCTTGTATTACAGATGGCGAAGTCATATTACTTCATTAAAAAGTTTAAAAGCAAATAGGTCAGCTTTGCAAATATTGGCAGTTCGAGAAGACGTGGAAATTGCAAGAGATATTAAAGATTTAATTCTAAGTGATGATTTTTGGACGAAGACAGGTGAATGTGTAAGTATTTTGGAACCAGTCACTGAAAGCATATTTTACTTAGAGAGCGACCAGAAACGTATACATCGCACATACATTACATTTAAAGATATACAAGCTAAGATACGTTTCACTTTTACTGATATTTCAACATTGAGCGAAGAAAGCAAACAGCAAATTCTAACATCAGTCTCTTCAAGATGCAATATGGCAATTAGACCAATACATTTGGCAGCATATATCCTAGACCCTACAACTCAGGGATTAGAACTTACTCAAGAGGAAGAACTTCAGGGTATGGAGTTTATCTACAATTTAAGTCAACACTTGAGTTTGTTTAATGTAATGGCGGATTTGGCGTGTTACAAAGCTAAAGAAAACTTTCGGTGAAGTAAACATTAAATTTCTATGTTCTAAAACCATTAGAGACACTTATTGAATGCATCTACCCTTAATTTACTGTTAAAAAAACGTTTCAGTGCAAATAATTAGCAAATTCACGAGTGGCCAAGTTTCCGTGCCGGTGAGGTATATTTTTGTATTGTACTTATCGTTACTAGAGGCCAAGTAGTCTAACCATGCTTTTTTCTTCTTCTTTACAGCTTCTCTCGCTTCATCATTCCACCATGCATCTCTTCTTGTACTACTACCTCTTTTTGTCGTTCCACATACTTCTTCCGCTGCATTTACCATTCCATCCCTAAGGTTCTGCCATGTTCTTCCCACACATTCTTTTTTGCCATCGATGGTGTCAAGCTTTTCGACTACCCTCGTGTAATATTTGTCCTTAGTATCCGCTTCCTGAAGCTTCCAGATTCGGATGCGACAGACCGACTGTGGTTCTGTTACTGCCGTGCGGTAGCGCCAACCCGCGAACAAACCCCTAAATCTAGTAATAACTAGATAGTGATCCGTTCCCAGGTCAGCATCCCTGAACACTCGTGTATGCATCACCTGTTTTCGCAGTCGGTCATCCACCAGGAACAAATCAATCATACTTCTCTCATTGTTTCTTTCTCTAGAGTACATATGGATTTTCCTGTGATTAAACATAGTGTTTGTCACAAGAAGACCCTTTTCCTTGCAGACAGCCAGTATAAGCTTGCCGGCATCATTAACCCTTTTTATCGCCAAACTTTCCGACTTTCGACTCGTACCCTGATCGAGCGATACCTACCCATCCATTCCAATCAGCACATACAACAGTTTTTTTTGTTTCCCTTAACCAAATCTAGAACTTCTCTTACATTCCCTCTTACAAACTCCTTCAACTCAGCCCTGGACGAAGAAGCTACCGGCGCATAAACAGCCAAAAGGAATAACTTCGTCAGTCCCAGTTTAAAGCGAACCCAGAGAAGTCTTGAGTTCACAACCTTATATACAGTCATAAGATCGACCAACCGGGACGACAACAGCACCCCCACTCCCTGGCAGGCGTTCTCGCTTTCCGGGACTCTGGACCATATAGCTAACGTCCCGCCAGGGAGCTATTCAGTACCACTGCCTTTCCGTTTGATCTCCGACATACACACGACATCTAATTCTCTTTCTTTCATTATTTCGATCAACTCGTTTGTCTTATCTTTCATGCCCCCTCTAACATTCCACGTGCCAACTCTGCACTCCGTCCTCCACCTTCCGCCGTGTCGGGCTGTGCGTGACGGGTGGCAGTCCCCATCGCAGCTTTGTGCGCTGCATTCTACAACAACGAGGACGAGCTGGTGTGCGTCGTCTTGGAGGGACGCCCTAACCCTCGCTTGCATGGGTGCGCAGCTGAGTAGAATTGCAGCCCTGAAAAGGGCGGGCAGGGGTCGCGACGAGCACGCTTCTACAACGACCCCCAAATAAATCCCCCTACCCCTAAATACTTAGGCAAGGCGTAGTGAAGAGTGCACGCCTTGAAATACATAACGCAGTGTTGGTACCGACTTTATTATATGGCAGCGAAACCTGGGTATGCCAGAAGAAGCATAAAAGCAAATGATTTCTTATATTTACGCGAACGCTACACATTGATTAAAACTACTTTTACGGATTTTATCGCGTTTATTTTACTTTTAATTACTTTTATTTTTAATTCCCGACATTTCGGGCGCTTTCCAGCACCCATGGTCACGGGGGACTGAGATGACTGACGTCCCGCTGTCATTGTTAAACCCGGAGTACCTTCAGCTTTTTTAATTATTGTTTATGGTCCGATCTATGCAAAATGAACTATGTCCTGAGGTCTATTAATAACAATAATAATAAATCATTTATTCTGGACCAAACCTTTTATACATTGTTCACACCCACCAAACTGCGTAACAGTTTGTCGGCGGGATTAGCGCTTGTCTGTAATACATTTGGTTCAAATACATAACTACAAACTAATGAAAATAAAAGTGTAAATAAAGCAAGTTTTAATATTTTTTTAAACCGGTATTAAACTATTATTAAAAAATATTTACTAAAATTTAGCCTATTATAAAAAAAAACTACTGCTATTATTAAGAATTACTAACATTTGGCCTATAGAAACTACTACTAATACAGTGGATTACATTAATAACGACATCGGTTGTAACGACTTTTTGGTTATAGCGACGTCAAACTTACGTCCCTTGAATTTAAAGCATACATTCATAAGAAATTCATTCGGTAATAGCGACTTCGGTTATAGCGTCTATTTCGGGTATAGCGACTTGTTTTTATGAACCATTTATGACCGATTCCTAGAAATCCCTTGCGGATATTGCGACTGAGTCGGCAAAGGCACAAAGACTCATTCGTAAAACTATTAAGCTTTCTTATCCTTTGTTTTTTCTTCAAATACAAGAAAAGGAGGATGAAGAAGAGGAAGAAGATTGCAATCTAAATAAGATTCCAACAACTCGAGATGCATTATGTGCTATAACAACGCTCAAAAAGTACTGTTTATTTGGTGAACGCCAAAATAATTCAGATGTTGAAGGAATTATGAAAATGGAATACACCTTACAGCGTGCACAAAAAACTAAACTTAAACAGTGCACTATCACACGTTTTTTTCAATTACGCCCGTGTATAGCATAATTAAATAAATGATAAGTAAATATGTAATTTCGGATATAGAGACCTCCGGATATAGCGACGGCATTAAAGTGGTCCCTCCGCCGTCGTTATAACCGAAATTCACTGTATTAGGATTCACTAACTTTTTCATATCTCTCAACAACTTCGTTAAGGAAAACAGTTTTCAATTTATTTTTTAATGTTTACTTATTCTAGTATTATCCTCTCGCAGCCAATCGAGGTCATTAAAAAGTGTGGGGGTCAAATATTTGTTGGTTCTTTTCCCATAGTAATTTTTTTACTGGTGGTCGCACGAGTTTACGCTCCCTATCGCTTCTAGTATTATACCTATTTTTCACTTGTTCTTTAAATTGGTCGTCATAGATCTGTTCAAGAACCAGCAGGTACTTGACCTTCTCATGTACAGGAAGCATTTTACATGCAACAAAAAGTTTTCATAATTGTCTTTACATGCAATTTTCGTTTGTGGTTTGACAAGGTATTTTATAAAACGGATTTGCAACGATTTTATACTGTTAAGATAGGTTTTAAATGTACGGCCATAATGTAATGTAAATGTATTTAATCCATAAGTTAGTAATGACTCGGCGAGAGTAAAATAAATGACACGCAACGATTTCCTATTCAATGCTGCATTCAGGATATAAAACTTACTTAACACTGCCCTGAGCTTTGTACACACTGCTTCAACCTGTGTTTTCCAATTCATATTATAGTCCACACAAAGACCTAGATACTTAAATCTACTTACATACTCCAACTTTTGACAAATACAATTTAAATTTTTATCGTGCATACATTCATACGTGTGGCCCACAATACCTATATCCACGCTCTTGACATTTTTTTGCTACTAAGTTGTACGGTGAGTACAGATGCATCACTTTCGTCTTATTAAGGTTAAGTATGATACCATTGTCATGAGCCCAACGAGTAACATTATCGAAGTCAGCCTGCAGCACAGCCTTGACCTCTTGTATATTCTTAGAGGAATATATAAGGCACATGTCATCCGCGTACATATATAGTCGAGATTTTTTAACCACATTACTGACGCTGTTGACATGCATACCGTAGCCAACGGGACCATAGACTGAACCAGTTGGAACACCAAGCTGTACCGCTGTTTCTTTACCAGCAACACCAGAAATGCAGGTTTGTAATGTTCTGTCACTCAGATAACTCCGAAACCACCTATTTGTTGGACCCCTGATTCCACACTCATCCATGGCCTGTAACAGCATCTCATGATCCAAGGTATCGAAGGTTTTTTTAGTCTATGAACAGCGCCAGGACCTGATGGCCCTGGTGCAGACTACTGTTTATATGTTCGGAAAACTGTGATAGTGCTGTTGTGGTGCTACGACCATGCCTAAAACCGTGCTGTGCATCCGCTAATATGCTATTTTGCTCCAGGAATTCGCTGACCTGGCCGACTACCATCTTCTCAACTATTTTATTAATGACCGATAAGATAGCAATCGGTCTATAGTTAGCATACTCTGAGTGAGCTCCCTGCTTGTAGATGGGCCTGATTAAAGCTTTTTTAAGTGTGCTAGGATATTCCCCTTTCAATAAACACAGGTTGACAAAGTGCGATAAGACCGGCGAGATCCTATCCTTGATTATTTTTAGGTCCATAGCTCGAATGCAGTCAGTGCCTGGCGCCTTGCAACAGCTCAGCTGATCGATAATTTTACTCACTGTGTCACTGGTAGCTGGTTTAAAGCGAAACGTTACATCACTTTCTTTAACATATTTACTTTTATCTAATAATTTAATACTACAATTATGTTTAATAGCAATAATTTCGTTCGTAAATGTATTTGCAAATTGACTACATATATTGTACATTGTGTTTTTATCCCCAAAATATCTTTTAACTATATCATCTATATTTGCTTTCTTCCTACCTTTCCAGCTATTAATTTTGTCCCAGATTTTTTTTGGGTCTCCATTACATTTCTTGATTTCTTCCGGTCGAAACCTATTTTTTGCTTTAAATATTAATTTGTTTACCTTATTTCTAAAACGTGTATATTCGAGTCTCTTCGTATTGTTACGCGCATAAGTCGACTTCACTAGCGCCATCTAGTCTCGAACCGAAGAACTAAACTTCTTGAAGTTGAAACTCGAAACCTCGGTATCTTGCGCGTGTTTACTTGAATATTCTGGATATTTCGGTGCTAATTTATATTTAGGGCTACTACGCACTGTCGACTAGTCGCCGGCGACTCAGTTGTCGACGACTGTAATATTGTATAGTTTAAATAGGTGTTTACGCACTAGTCACCGGTTGCCCGGGCGACTCGGCGACTCGCCGCGCAGTGGCGACGCACAGGAAACTGCCGGTCGCCGGCGACCAATAGGAGCACGGTTTCAAATGAAAGCATTCACACTGCGAGCAACTGTCGTAACGACCGGACGGCCGCGCACAATGAGTTTTGACACGGATATTTATCCGTGTCAAAACTCATGTTTATAAATTTTTATATCGGAAATACAATCCCGAAAAGCTATTTGGGATTTACAAAGTGAGGAATATGCTAATCGGGATTTGAAGAAAAAACAATGGGAAGAAATAGTGGAGTTATTTGGAGGTGAAGAATTATCAGACGAAGAAAAAAAACTCAGGTAAGTAAGAAATGCCATTTATTTTTTATTAATTAATACTGCTCATCTGCCAAGATAATTGACCCTCAGTTGTAAAGTAATCAGCAAATACATCTCTGTATGATGCACCACGTCGCGTAGCTCTTTGGAAACCGTTTGGGACTTCTTCAAAGCCAGGAATGCTCAGGGTATCTTCAAATTTATATCCGTCTCTTTCTCGGACATAGTTGTGAAGAGCGCAACATGTTTTGATGATGCATGATACTAGATCTAAATTCACGTTGATAGGTCTGTGAAAAATCTGCCACTTGTTTGCTAATATGCCGAATGAACATTCAATATGGCGTCGTGCACGAGAAAGCCTATAATTAAATATTTTTTTCTTTGTTGTTAAATTTGATCCACCGAACGGTCGCATAATTTTGTCAGTTTGTCCAAATGCTTCGTCACCCACAATAACAAACGGTACTTGTATAGGGTTTGTCGATGAAATGGGCTTAGGTTCGGGTATTTGCAAATCATTGTTCATTAGCTTTTGATAAAACGTTGAATTTGTAAATATAGTTGAATCGCAATCCTTTCCATAGGAACCAACGTCTATGTATATGAACTTATAGTCAGAGTCACAAATGGCAAGCAAAATTACAGAAAAGAAGTGTTTGTAATTATAACACAATGATCCACTGTTGTATGGTTTTATAATTCTTACATGCTTACCATCTACGGCACCTATGCAATTTGGAAAATTGGCCCGTAAATGAAAATCTTTTGCGATTTTTAACCAATTTTCTTTTGTCGGTTGCGGTAAACACATGTCTTTTAGTACAACCCATATAAAATGACAAACTTCTCTTATTATTTCAGCTATAGTTGAAATCCCAAGTCTGTATGAGTAATGTAAATCTACAAATTTACAACCGCTTCCAAGATATCTGGAATTAAAAAACAATTTAAATATATACATTATTTACGGGTCATTCACTTCAAAAGAAATGGAAAAATATAAGAAGCTGCTTTTCGCGAGAAGTACGAAGATTAAAAAATACTAAAAGCGGATCTGCTGCTTCCCATAAAAGTCCCTATATTTATTATAATCAGCTGTTATTTTTGAAGAATACCGTTGGTAATTTGAACACAGAGAGTAACATTGCTGAACAAGAACATTTGACAAATGATCAAGAACCTTTAGGACCTTACTCGAGAGAAAATATAGTCGGAAGAAAAAAGAAAAAAACGTCAGATGATGGCACAAGCGAACTGTTAACCACATTAAACAAGTGTATTGAAACTCGCAAAAATAAGGAGGATATTTTGAAACAAGATGAGGACAGAATGTTCCTGATGTCCCTATTATCATCATTTAGGGCAATTCCGGAGCACAAAAAGTCAGCTGCGAAAATTCAATTAATCAGTGTAATCGAATCATTCCGATCCTCTACTCAAAATAATATACTATATCCAAACACAATGTGGCGAAATTTTAATGAGTACGAGTATGAGCGTCGTTACTTCACACCGGAGGCCGGGCGTTCAACAGCACCAAGTCAACAATCACGCCCTGAAGCACAACATTATTATACGCTACCAACTTCAACTCCTTCAGAACGTGAACGCCCAGAGTCGCGATTTTCTACTGTCACTTCAAATACCTCGCAAGATTCTGACATTTTGGATCTATTTTGAATATTTCCTTTTGTTGTGCGTTCGTTTATAATATTGATTTCATTAAGTACTTTAAAAAAATACATGTTTTATAATTATTTACCGTATATTTTTAAATTATGTCATCGAAGAGTAGACTTACAGATAGTGCCATCCACGAAGACGCGCCCCACTCTTTGTTCAAATGCATGTGTGCTATCTTCCGCATGTGTTAAACATCTGTCGATACACGCTAATTATCGATGAATGCAAACGCACACTAATAGAAATTGACTAATCAGGAAAGAGTATTATGAACAGCACGAAAGATACTCTATTTAAATTTAATCGCGCATCTTCGTGGATGGCATTATCTGTAACTCTAAACACACTCCCGGACACATCTATCGGCCCACCTTGAGTTTTAAGTTTTGACTGGAGACCAGCTAAAAATAAATGTTAGGAGGAGCAATAAGTTTTTTGCAGGTGTGAAGCTGATTTACTGGCCATCGTTTTCGTAAAAAACTGCATAAAAACTTATTGCACCACTTAACATTTATTTTTAGCTAGGGGATTGTCAACACTTTAAACACTAGGTTTGGCCGATAGATGTGTCCGGGAATGTAATGTAAATTGTGTTAAAATCCCGTAAAAAATAAATGTTAGGAATGAATTTTATTTGAATTGTCACTTACCTTAGTGTTATAAAAAGTTTTTCTTCCGGAGAAATACATGGTCGCATATTTGTATCTATGCCAGTTATATGTGGTTTTAGAAGACACAATAAGACATCAAACGAACTCACAGACATTCTTGCATAATTAAAAAATTTACGAGGATATTTTCTAACGTCTTCATAAAATATTTTAAACATTCCCTTTGACCTCCGTTCTTCTAACAAAGGATGCACCCAATACTCTTTTGATTTTTTTTTATTTGTCTTTCTTTTTATAATTAGTAGCGCCGCTACTATTGCAAGTTCTTCAACGTCCGTTCTGCACGAATGTACTTGGAATACTGCCGCTCGGCTCGGTCTCCGGGCCCTGTTTCCCATGTTTCGGTCGCCGAGGGACTGAGTCGCCGGCGACTAGTCGACAGTGCGTAATAGCCCTTATAGGCGCTGCAAGATGCGATCGGGGAAGTATTGAAGTTGGCGACACAAGCGAAGCTTCGGAGCGGAATAAAGTGAATCAGTGTGATTAATTATTAGTGTTTTTAACTTTAATTAGTGTAAAGTGAATTAAAGTGTTAATTTAGGTAATTCTATCGGCAATTTTTACTGTCACGAACCTCAAGCTCGTAACAGTATTATTGTTTGGTGTTTCTTTCCAATCCCTAAATAACTTATCCCTACGCATTATCATTTTATTTAAATCTCTGCTTATCCACGGTTGTGTGTCCCGTTTTTTAATCTTTGGCATTACAGTCTTACTATATTTATAAATATCATTGAAAGGATTTTGCAGCTTATAATATAACTTTAACGGACAATCAATGAACAACAGTTGAGACCAATCATAATCACTGATCTACTTAGCTACTAGCCTATTATTAATTACAAACCGAGTGTCCGAGTCCGCGCTGTCGGTGCAGTATTGCGTCACATGTTTACATGGCACCGAGATTCCCACCACATGATGATCCGACATGGAGCACTCAATGATGAACGAGTAGCAGTCCCGCAGCTGTCTTGCTCGCACCCAAACATGATCGATACACGACGCTTCTCTTACACCAGCTACGATAGCCTCCGCGTCACCTCCGTAACCGGTATTACGCACTGTAGGCGTAGTCCACACAGGCAGTCCTTATATTTTGACACCAGTTGATTTTCACTCACTCCTAACAGGTTTATGTTGACGTCACTTAATATGATAATATCCTCGCTCGCTGGGATCTTCATAATTATCTGCTCCATTTCATCAACGAATAACGACCTATTCGTTTTTGGTGGTCTGTAGACTGCAATTATATTAAGAATAGAGTGGTCAACAGTGAGTTTACCATAAAGTCCTTCCAGTGAACTCGTTAGGGTTTTGTGTGCATTGAAACTAAGATACTCCTTAGCGTAAATAATCACACCCCCCTCCACTTTTAGTCTCCCTCGTGTTTGCAAATAGATTGTACCCCTCCATGTGGTATAGTGATAGCTCATTGTTGTTAATGTTTGCCTCTGTCACCACTAGTAATGCTAACTCCTCAGAGCATTTTTTTACAAACACTTGCAATTCATTAAAGTTTTTTCTTATCGACCGAATATTTATGTGTAATATGTGTAAATATTTGTTGTTGCAAGATATACTCCGAACCCAGGAATTCGCTGTTTTAAATCTTGTATATTGACATTCCAGTGTGATAATTGCATCGAAACAATCACCTTTTACTTGATATTATTGAGCTCACAGTGTTTACTTCGCACTAAGTTTGCGTGAGGCTAGTGAGACCAACAACAACATCTAGCTAATTGCCGTATTTAAATTGTTTTCTATAAATTTTTCAATATCACGTTCACTCTTAATTGACATTATTTTCTTCTGTTCATCACTCTTTCTTATGAGTATTTTTCCTTCCTGTACCCAAATGTACTTGTAGGTTTTCCTAAGCTGATTTTTAGTAACCCATAAAAGGTTCCTTTTATATCTAGTGAGATTCTCATTTATATAAAGATGTTGATCATTTGAGATTTTTTGATTTGAGATCAGTTGTCAGATGTTTTTTGCAACTTCTAATCCGGTTATCACGAGCCTCCTTCGTTTTCAGCGTTACAACTACTGGCAGTGGCTTGTCGGCATCTGGTTTTACACGGCCTACTCTCTCTGCGTGTTCAATCTGGCTAACATCCATCTGGAGTTTGTTGGCTACCTGGATTATTATTTTCACCACATCTTCATTTTCCTTCTTTTCCAGTCCAGCTAATTCCACCTTTTTTCCTTGTCTTTCTCTTCCAGCTCATTCACACGTTCTTCTAGTGCTTTGTTGCACTTCATCAAGTGAGCATTCATGTTTTCTAAGGATTTTATTTTTGTATCGGTCGACTTCTGGTATTCTACTAGGTTATCATACTTTTTTGACACAAAATCAACCAAATCGGCCATCTCACTCAGCTTCTTCTCCATTTTGTACACCACCTCCATTTTCCTATTCATATCAGCCAGGGTCACTGCAATATCCGATTCATCAACAGCAGGCGAACTAGTACACGATCCGGGCACGGAAACACAATCTTCACATTTTTCATTTTTGAAAGTAGTCTCGTAACGCATTTTTTATGGAAGACTGCTTCACATGCGCCTTTACATTTACTAGTCTCCTCAGACACAGTCTTATTGCATTTCTTACACTTCACCATTATTAATGCTTATGCGATATTGGAAAGACACCGTCTTTTAGATATTTATGCACAATTACGTATTTGACTTAAGTGGATCTACGATACAACAGCCGTACGCCAAGCGCGCGCACACGACTGAGACTTGCAGTGGTATGCTTGGGTTTAGTTTTAATTTTATTGATTATAGAATCCCAAGCAGGTGGTAGTACCCAGCCTCCTTCTCTATTGAAATTAGGATGTTTTTAATTTCAATAGCCTCACGTATCATCCTTGGTAGGAATCGGTGTTCTTTCGCGAGGATTTGTGGTCTATCAAATCTGATGTAATGGTTGGAGCCGTCTAGGATATGATCGCAAACTGCAGACTTCCCGGAACGTTGATGCTTCACATCAGCTGTATGTTCTTTTACGCGGGTTCTAATTTATCTTTTTGTTTGTCCTATATAAGAGAGACCACATTCACAATCAAGCTTGTACATTCCTACATCTTATAGAGGAATATTACACTTAATGGATTGTAGGAACTGACTAATCTTCTTCGGCGGCTTGTAGAATGTTCTAATAGAAGCTCGCTTCAAGATGTAGCCAATCTTGTCTGTGACACCTCTGACATATGTTAGTACAGCAGGCACACGCTCGACTGTGGCCGGCTTCACTCGGTCACTGTGACGTAGGCGCGGGGCCCGAAGCTTGTGGTCGTGAAGAACTTGCTTGACGTGCTGAAGCTCGGCGGCCAGGTGTTTGCTGTCACAGATCCCTCGTGCTCTCTGTAACAAAGATTTGCCCACGGTAGCTAACTGTGAAGGATGGTGGTGAGATTCACCGTTTAAATATCGGTTTGTATGGGTCTTTTTTCTATACACAGTGTGACCAATGGTGTTGTTGGGATTTCGGATGACTAACACATCTAGGAAAGGTAAGGAATTATTTGCCTCTAACTCCATAGTAAATTGAATTTTAGAGTTTATGGAATTAAGTTCTAAAAATGCAGTTACTTAGTCTGATGGTAAAATTGTGAAAGTATCGTCTACGTACCACTTGTAGATCCTTGGTGTAACAGGTGCAGTAAGGAGGGCTTTCTCCTCAGTCTTCCACGAATATATCGGCGACAATGGGAGATACAGGTGAGCCCATCGCCATACCATCTACTTACTTGTAAAACTCTTCCTTCCACAATAGATAGCCAGATGTAAGGCAATGTTTGAGTAATACTGCATACTCTGCTGGCATATTATTTTCCTCTAGTTTCCTATTTATAATTGAGATGCAGTCTTCAACAGGTAGGCATGTAAATAGAGACTGAACATCAAAACTGACCATAGTTTCATTGTCGGTAAGACGTAGGTTTTTATCTAACTGACAAAATGGTATGAATCCTTAGTGTGGTCTCTTGTGTGTCTTCTGAGTGGTGATAATATTTTAGCTAAGTATTGAGCCAATCTGTAAGTTGGCGAATCAATCTGACTCACTATTAGACGTAATAAAGCGTTTGGTTTGTGTATTTTTGGTAACCTATACAACTTACAACAAATTACAGCGTCCAAATTCAATTTCTCGGAGTATTTCTCAATTAGATCGCTAGTTGTTTTAAGCGTATTAGTTGTAGGGTCTGTTTTGACCTTTCGGTATGTAGTTTCATCCGACAAAAGTTGTGGTACTTTAAAATTGTATTCTGACGTATCCATTATAACCGTAGCATTGCTTTTATCTGC